ATCTGTCAGATACTTCCGGAGCTTCTCGCGTATATACGGATGATTTGGACTTTGTCTGGTTCTCACCGGTGTTGTTTTGGCGACTTGGTTGTTGCATTACACCCTTAATTTGCACTTTTCGCAACTTTCTCAGGGTTCTACAACAACGAAAACCCAGAACGCCTCACTGGGCTATTGCGTAAGATTTCTAATGAAATCATACACCGTTGTTGCGCCAAGATATCACTGGGCGAGGTTTTTGACGGTGACGTCGAGGGTTCGATGGTCAATCCAAGGAAACCCGTGTCTCGGCACTAGCATGCAAATTTATTTGAGGTTTCATCGCTGACAGGTTGCACTTGATGAATCAATTCAGTGTGGTGTCTTGTGGAAGCGCATATACCGCCGCACGGCTGCTGCTATTCGAACCGCGCATCCTAGTACGCCACGCTTGCACTGGACGTTTGATGATGCATCCATTTTTGCACAAATCGATGCTTTTGTGCAACGCTGTCGTGACCTGCTTGAAGTATGCGAAGGCCAAATTCAGTTTTGTCGAAAATCTTCTGAGACACATGGCAGACCAGGGTCGCTACCTCGGTTTGGGGGCACGCGCGGCCACGAGATTACGAAGGCGTTGATCGAAATACAGGACCAATTCGAGCAGCAGATCGACCGTCTACGTAACCTTGACTACGAGATTTTAGATGTCAAGACAAGCCATTGGCACGACGACTACAACGTGTTCAAAAATTCCGTGAAAGATCTCGAGGTGATGTACACCAATGTGATGAACACTGCATTTGAAGGGGTCACGCGCGTCTCTGAGGCTGTAGCGGTTCTGGAGATTTTCTATTCCCTTGCAAAGCGAGATGCTATCCAGCGCTGCGTCGAGAAAAAAACAGTCGATATGTACATGCTCTTTATTCACACGGTCGAAGAAATTCGCCATGACTTCGATGAGAATCGCAGAGCGCCTCCGCTCCGCAACAATGAGCCAAAATGGGCTGGGTCGGCCCTCTGGGCCAAATCTCTGGCACAGATTGTACAGGACTCGTGGAGTCTCTTGCAGAGCGCAACGTGCCTTCCGCCAATAATCTGGGCATTCGGTGTCTAAAAATCTTGACGAATTAGTTTATCCTAGCAGGATAGATCTTTTTCTAGGTATTTGACGCACACGAGGGAAGCCGACGAAGCAGAGGCTGCATACAAAGTGCTCATGGGCGTACTGAACGACTACAAGGCAAGCCGCTACAAGGGATGGGTGGATTCTATGGAGGCTTTGGATTCGACCATGCTGCAGGCGCGCCTTGACAATCCTCTGATGAAGCGAATGGAGAGGTCCGCTGCGACAGAGGAAGTTTTGCTCGGTGCAACTCCTGTTTTGAACAAAGGTAAAGATAGTCTTCTTGAGTGTAACTTTGACAGAGGGCTGCTCGCGATGTTCTCTGAAGTGCAGTATTGGGAGAAATTCCAGGGCGAGTTCTCCATTCCCTATGTTGCTCATGATATCTGTAATCAGCGAGAAAAGCTTCGTGTGATGCGGGAGCATGTCATGTTGATAGTCAGGGCGTATAATGCGATCCTTTATGACCTGACTGTCGAAGAACGCCGTCTATTCTCCGATCACATCCGAAAACTCGACAAGCGTATCAATCAGGGTCTCCAGAAGTTGACATGGGCCACGAAAGGTGTTGTTGAGCATTATGTAAAAGACTGTTGTAATCACTGCGGAGAAATACACGCAATTGTGCGTCGATACAAGGAGGGGAAGCACAAGATATCCCGCGAATGTCGACTTACGGCGTCCCTTCTCTTGCTTCGAATCGATAAGAATGCTATATATGACGAGGGTATTTTTGAGGCAAAGCAAGCAAACCACCGCACTGAGGTGAAGCGACGCTTTCAACAGAGCCATCAAAATATAAAGCAGGAGCTCCGAGATATGTTTGTCAATTTTCGCGAGGGTACCTCCGAGGTACAGCGTGAATGGCGGGAACTCGTCAAGGAAGTCGACCGCGAGGTGGAAGTCTCGTTGCGGCAGAC